CACATCACACAAAATTGAGAACATTAAAAAATATTATCTAGGGGCCAGAGCAACAGTACAGTGGGTAGGGTATTTGCCTTGCACACAGCTGACCTGGGTTCAACTCTCAGCACCACAGATATGGTCCCTTGAGCCCCCCCAGAAGTGATCCCTGAGCACAGAACCAGATGAGAGCCTCGAGCACCCACCATGTTTAGGCACAAAATAAAAACAACCACCCCAAAAGAATTTTTTGTAAAGAAAGAAAACAAACCCTTAGGCTTCCAAAGGGCTCCTAAGAGAAAAGTGTGTGTGTGTGTGTGTGTGTGGGGGGGGGGGGGGGGTGTAGAAAAGCTGAGCAAAGACCTAGAGATAATGGTACAGGTAACACTATCTCCAGGGAGCAGAGTAGTAATAATATTAACAATCATGTTACCTTGATAACGATCATTTAAAATTCCTTTTTCCCCTTTTTTTATCTGGCGGTACCAGGAATCGAACCAGGGACCTCTCAAATACAAGGGGAGTGCTGAGCCCTAGTGTGTTTCAAACTCTGCCCCACACGTCAGAAACTCACTGACAGTATCCCACGGGCATCCTACCTAGAGGCCCAGTGCTTCCCGGGGTACAACTGCGAACAACAGTTCACCCTGCCATGAACTGGAAAACAGGTAGTACTTGGGCCACCACCCAGATTCCCTCTCTTGTCCCAAGCATCCCTCTCTCATCCCAAGCATCCCTCTCTCACCCCCAAGGCTCTGCATGCAGCCCTGAGACCACCCAACATCCATGCCCCACTCAGAGACTCAAGGGCAATTCTGTCCAGGCACGTGTGTGGGTTCTGAGCCCTTGAAGAGGATTTGGGTCCAAGGAATGGCTTATGGTTCCCTACAAAAAAAAGACGCGACAGGCAGCTTCCCACTGACCTACCAGAGCTTCTTTCTATACTTCAGTTATTCTGTCCTGAAGCTTAAAACAAAACGCTCAGTGCCTTTTATGGAAGAGAAACAAAATCCACTCTTCCCGTCTCCTGATAAAACACTGTGGTTTACCCTCCCGATCAGACGGTGGAGGTGCAGGGGGGGGCGGGGGAGAGGGTGCGGTCCTGAGAACAGCTGTCAGGTCGGTGAAGGGTTCTGGGCAAAGACTCAGTCCCCCAGAAAGACCCTTCTCCTGGACCCACCTCCTCGCCCGGTCCCTGCTCAGCACCTCCCAATGCGGCACAGTGCTCAGAGGCAACAAACAGGAAACAAGCCTCACTCTCACCTCACCAGAGCAGCTGGGAAACACTGTCTTTCCTTTGGGTCTAGCCTGGGAACAGAGTGGCAGAGCCAGGTCTAAGAATCTCCGCCCTCCCTCCAACCTGAACAGGAAACCTTCTGCTTCGAGGAAGGAAAAGAAGGAGAGAACAAAAAAAAAAAAAAAAAAATTGAAATGTGGAGGGAAAGGCTTGGTCTGCAGCTGCGTGCGGTTAACGCGGTGGGCAGGACGCCGCTCGGAGACGTGCCGATGTGGTGAGTGTCCCTTTAAAGCCAGCGGCGAATGCCAGCCACCTCCAATACCATAAAAGTCCCGCGGGCCTGGTCCTGGCCTTGGGATTCTTCCCCGTACTTTCCATGAGCATTCCGCCGGGAATTGTCTGGAATCCCAGATTAAAACGGCAACAACCCAATTCCCTTGTCAGAATATTTATTTTCTTTTGGGTTTGGAACCCCAGCTGGGATGTATCTCCTAGCGTGAGGTGTGGCATCCACCCTCTGAGGGCCGTGCAGGTCTCTGCACAGCACAGCGCGGTGGGTGCAGGAGGGTGTGGTGGGGGTGGGGGGGGGACATTGTGAGGCAAGCACCCGCGGAGGCAGGCAGTGAGAGTCTGGGAACCTCCGGCTTTCTCCCAAGATTCGTCCCGTGGGGCCCAGACAGCTTTTCCAAGGAGGTTTCTAATGTCGGGCTGCCAGTTCGAGGCACGGATGCAAACCCTGCATCTCATCCTGTACCAGGAACCCATCAGCAGACGGCGGGGGGCCAGGAAAGTGTGGCATCCTTCCCCAGATCATTAGCTAAGTAGGGATCTGGTCACCCTTCATCAATCTTCTCACCCATCCCTCCCGCTCTAGCTCCCTCCTTCCATCCTTCCATCCATCCATTCACCAATGCACCCAAACACCCATCCTTCCTTAATTTATACTTTAGTTCCTTCTTTCCTGCCATCCATCCATCCATGATCCCTTGCTCTCTCCCTTCCTCCTTATATCAATCCATCCATACAAACATTAATCTCTCTTTCCCTTCCAACCAATTGTCCATTCTGCCCTTACTCTATCCATCCTTTTTGGTTTTGTTTCATTTTGTTTTTTTTTTGGGGTGGGGGGGCGGGAGAAGAAGGCACACCCAATGGTCCTCAGGCTTACTCCTGACTCTGCACTCAGGGAGATGACTCCTTGCAGGCTTGGGGGACCACATGGCGTGCCAAGAATCAAACCCTGGTCAGCAGTGTGCAAGGCAAATGCCCCTTTTATTGCTCCAGTCCTATCTTATCTTTTCATTCATCTTTCCCTCTTCCTCTTAATATTCATTCCTCCCTTCATCATTCATCCAACCATTCATCCACCCCAACATTTACCCCTCCCTTCTCTGCCCCTCCATCATCTAGTCACCCAGCCCTCCCTTACTCCACCCACCCATCCACCCACCTACCTACTCATCGTCCATCCGAGCTATGCAAACTATTCAACAACTGACCAACCACTAACCAAAATGATAGCCACACTCCAGTCTTGAATTTATCCATCCACCCGTTCCCGGATATTTATCAAACCCACTCAAACAGCAGCCCAGAGGGCGGGCCTGGGCTCTGGAGGCAGAGAGAACCGCGGTGAATCCTGATTCTGTCTCACGCCAACTGTGTGCCCTTGGCAAGTTACTCCCATTTTCTATGCCTGCATCGCTGACGTGTGGCGTGAACCGAAAAAGAATATGGACTTTCCCAGCAGTGTGAGAATTGAATCATTCACACAGGGGCCTTCACAGAGGATGATCTGCACTGCGTGGGCCCTCAACAGCGGCTGTGACCGTGCATGAGGCACCTGGGCAGGCCTGGATGGCACTGACCAGCCGTGGAAATCAAAGCGCTGGTAGGGGAGACAACTGGAGCAGGAGGGAGGAGATGCAAGGGAGGAGATGAGGATCGTTCAAAGGCAGCAGGCCGGGAAGCACTGTCCAGTCACAGTGCTGGAGGGCAGGAAGGCCGAGTACTACTGACCAAGACTCGCCAACACATGTCAAGGGCAGAACGAGTTAGAATCATGAGCTAAGGCAGCAAGTTTGTTAGCTGGTTTCACCGCAGTAATTTCTTCTGCAAAGACCCCTCTATGGTAAAGGAAGTGAAATACTATGTAGAGGCTGCTAGAGGGCTGGAGTGATAGTACTGCGGGTAGGGCGTTTGCCTTGCATGCGGCTGACCCGGGTTCGATTCCCAGCATCCCATATGGTCCCCTGAGTACCGCCAGGAATAATTCCTGAGTGCAGAACCTGTGCATTGCCGGGTGTGACCCAAAAAGAACAAAAAAAAAAACACTGGAGGCGGGTCAAGGTGGGCCTGGAGGTTTGTCCTGGGGAAGCGTGTGTGTGTGTGTGTGTAGGTGAGGGTGGGGGGGGGGCTGTCTTCAAAGCACAGGATCAAAAGCTCTGAAGGAAGCTGCAGCTTATGGGGGCCAAGTGCTGGTATTTTTTTCTCAAGGGCAACCCAGATCTGCCAGGTCAAGATTGGGTGGGAGGATGCTTAGCCCATGATGGCAGACTCCCCTCCTTCCAGCTAGCCTGCAGTCTGGTCCTGCCACCTTCTCGTTGGGCCAAGTTCATTCTGCGGGAGACAGGAGTAGGGCCTCTTGGCCCTATGCAGCTGGGATGCACTGACCACAACTGCAGCAAGCCAGGAAAGGGAATTGTTGGGGTGGTGGGGGGAGGACCCGCAGTCTTGGCATCCCCATCCCTGCGTAGAGCCCAGCGACCATCGTCACAGGGAGCAGGGCGCACCCCGGGACCTCTCTAGGCATCAGAGCTCCAAGTCATCCCCAGCATGGGGAACCCTTCGGCCTCGCACCTCTGGTTGGAATCAGGGGTGGGGAGAGCCTTGGTCCTTTCTGGAAGGATCATCCTAGAGATAAGAAACACGACCCTCTGCCCATTTAAGTCAGGAGGAATCAATGGGGAGGTGGGGGGGAAGGGGTGGGTCCTAAGGAGACCCGGGTATCCTTGATACCCGGGTTGTGCCCTGGGCTTGGTGAGTGGGGGAGCAGTGTCCGGGCCATTCAAACACAGATGAGGGTGGCATTCAGTGGTCCTCGCTGCCCTGGTCCCATCTGGGTACCCCTGCGGCACAGCAAAGAGGTGAAAGGGAAACGGCAGGTGGCTGAGGCTTCGGGGATCCGCCTCCACCTCGGTAGCACAAGTGAGACGGAGCCTCCTGGGGCAGGATGGGGTGGCTGGATGCTGACGGAGTGGATGCCGGAGGGAGAGGTGTGAGCAGGGCAGGATGCAGAAGGGGCAGAGAGCTCAGAGGCGGGGGCAGGAATAGCAAGCCCAGGCCCCAGGGGACCCACGGCGGGAGCTGGCGGAGACACACTCCCCGCAACGCCAGCCCCGCTCACTGGTAGCTCGGGACTCCGCGGCTACTGCACAATGCCAGTTTGCAGGCGGGGAGCGGGACACCGTGTCCTAGAGTCAACAACGGAACAAATGCCAGGGAACCAGGCCCCCGGCCGGAAACCCAAGTTTCTCAGAGCCACTGGGGCGGGGCCGTCGGGGGGCAAGGCGCACAGAAGGTTCCAGAGCAACTGCCCCAAATAGCACGAACGCGACCTCCCCATCCTCTGATGTGCCGGGGACGGGCCCCCAGGAGCCACAGGGCACGCCCCTTGCCAGCCCTCTGGGGGTGGTCTCCGCTTCCCTCTTCCCCTCTCCCGTCCATCCCTCCATGGGCCTGGCTGTCAGTCTGTCCCTGTCCCTCCAGTGCCAACACTCACGCAGGTGCGCAGGCAGGCGGATCGACTCTTCCTCCATCCTGAGCGGGCGGGGCACTGGGACATGAAGCGGCGTGGAGGCGCCGTAGTGGGGCACGTGCGGCACGTAGCTGGACACGGGGCTCTCCGGAGGTGTGTAGGACACCCGCTCCTGCTGTTGGGGAGGAGGAGAGAGAGAGAGAGTGAACGAACGCTGGGAACTGGGGTGTCAGCCAGGGGAGGGGGACCTCATTCCAAGACCACTGGGGACAGGGGCTGGAACCACAGCACAGCGGGTAAGGTGTTTGCCCTGCATGCAGCTGACTCGAGTTCGATTCCCAGCATCCCATCTGGTCCCCCAGGCACTGTCAGGAGTAATTCCTGAATGCAGAGACAGGAGGAACCCCTGTGCATCGCTGGATGTGACCAAAAAAGCAATAAATAAATCATGATCATTGTTCATCGACTTGCTCGAGTGGGCCCAGTAATGTCTCCATCGTGAGACTTGTGGTTACTATGTCTGGCATATCGATTACGTCACGGGTAGCTTGCCAGGCTTTGCAGTGCAGGCGAGATACTCTCGGTAGCTTGCTGGGCTCTCCGAGAGGGGCAGAAGAATCGAACCCAGCTCAGCTGGCCAGCTGAGCGCAAGGCAAACGCCCTACCGCTGTGCTACCATTCCAGTCCAATAAATAAATAAATACATGACAGACCACTGGGGACAAGGAACCAAACTCTAGGATAGTTTCCCCTGGGGCTCTCCTTAGGACGTGGCTCAGTTGCTGGGGTTAAGAGCAGAGACAGGGGGGCGGGGAGCCCGCAGTGGGGCAAAGGCAATCACCCCACATGCAGCCAGCCCAGGGTCGATCCCAGAGCACAGGGCACCCTTGGGTGCGGCCCCGCAACAAAAACAAACTGAACAGGTGGGAGGAAGGAACCAGCCAGGAGGATATTCAGAAACATGGTTTCAATGCCAGCTCCCTCCAAAGTGCCTTCCCCAAGTCACATGACTAATGTTGCCGATACATTGGAAGTATATTCCCCCCTTCTCCCGCCTAGAAGGGAAGCCAGGACTCCATCCCAGGCTCCTGATCTCATCTGAGCTCCCAGGGAAGGCTTCGCAGTTCTAGATTCATCTATTCATCTCCAAGCCAGGCTCTCTGCCCACTTAGCTCATCACGGCACAAACAAAAGGATCCTGGGTGGCCTCTGTCCTTCAGAGGTGGGACATCACCTGCCACATCATCGTGTCTATCTGTCCCTCCAACCCCTCTTCCAGGAGCCTGTTTGTTCCCTTCCCTTCTGAAGTATCTCAGAGTTCAGAGGTTCATCTGCATTTCAGGGAAGTATGGTTTAACCCAAGATAGTCTACTGACAAAGATGGTGGCCTGAGGGTCTTCAGCAAACCTCCTATTTGGATTTAGATGAGGGGGAAACACCATGAATTATAACAAGGGAACACTGATGATGGGTGTGGTGTTGGAATTATAGAAAACAGAGACATTATTACTATTATTACTGTAGTATTATTGTTATCATCATCATCATCATCGTCATCATCATCATTATTATTATTCAGGGGATTGGGATTACACCCAGCAATACTCAGGCATCTCTCCTGGCTCTGTAGTCAAGAATTACTTCCGAAGGTGATTTGGGGGAGGGAGGGCCAGAGGGGGCAGGGACGGGCCATATGGGATTCTGAGTATCAAACCTGGATTGGCTACGTGCAAGGCATACACCCTACCTGCTGTACTACTGACCCAGCTCCAGAGAAACCATTATTAATAGCACTGCGAACCACTGACTCTCAAAACAGAAAAATATAAAGAACAGAAGAAAATTACAACAAATTACCTTGTGCATAATTTTATATCTTCCTTATATATGTTTGAGATACACTGACAGAGGTTATTGTGATGCCCAAAGTCAATGCAATGTGTACTTTTACTAGGATCCTCAAATTTCCCTTGAATCTTTTTTGCAATGTAATAAAATGTATGACACCAGCAAAGTATTAAAATGTATTTCAGAAAATAAAGGACAAGTTGATTTTTTTTTCAAACACACACAAAAGAATGACAACAAGTGGATGTGACGGGAAGACTTGTTATCAGTTTTAAGTTAAAACACAACAAGGATGGGGTTGGAACGATAGCACAGCGGGTAGGGTGTTTGCCTTACACACTGCCGACCCAGGTTCGATTCCCAGCATCCCATATGGTCCCCCGAGCACCGCCAAGAGTAATTCCTAAGTGCTAAAGCCAGGAGTAACCCCTGTGTGTCACTGGGTGTGACCCCCCCCCGCAAAAAAAAGAAAAAAAAACACAATAAGGAGGGGTGCTGGAGCGAAAGTACAGCAGGTAGGGTGTTTGCCTTGCACACGGCCAACTTGGGTTCAATTCCCAGCATCCTATATGGTCCTCCGAGCACCTACAGGAGTAATTTCTGAGTGCAAAGCCATGAGTAACCCCTGTGCATTGCCAGGTATGATCCAAAATGCAAAATAAATAAATAAAGTGACAGCAAGAAGCCAACTCCGTATTTCAGAAAAAAAAAAAAAGTCATGCATGTTGCAGCTCGGACCAGCACACCAGCTCAACTGACTTGCAGCCCTATACCTAAACTTCCGCTCATTTCTGTGGTTTAACTGGGCACTGCAAAGTAGGGCACCCAAGATCCAAAAATAAGCTGGGCGGGGGGGGGGGGGGGGGGGGGGGGGAGTGATCACAAACATGCCATTAGGAACACAGAAACCAGGCACCCAAAGGGGGTGAGGGGGAAATCACGGATGAAAAAAATGGCAAGGGTGCTTACGCAGTTTCAAAAGAAAATGCTTGAGAGTTCACCAAAGAGAACATGCTCTACTTCACCAAGGGTACGAAGGGAAGCGGGAAACGGTGGGGTGGGACAGTGAAGGGGTGTCCCCGACCCTCTCATCAAAGGAAAGCTGCTCTTCAGCTTGGAGCTGGGAAATTTTGTCAGTTGTGGTAGGAAGTTTCACTTTTAAATGAATATATGTATATATATATATATATATATGTGTGTGTGTGTGTGTGTGTGTGTGTGTGTCTGCATTATTTCCAAAAGGATTCACTCTTCCCTCCTGAAGGCCCAACATTCTCTACCCATCACGAGGGCGTCACAGAAATAGCTCTGTTCAAACCTCATGGCCAAATTTCCTAATTCTGGGAGCATTCACATGTGTGTCTTCTGCACCACTCAAGATATGTATGTGTGTGAGTTGGGGTGGGTAGCGCGTATCTGCATCAATCAAGGCATCATGTTGAGTGTGCATGTGTGGGATCTTATTTCTGCATCAATACAAGATGTTGTGTGTGTGTGTGCGCGCGCATGCGGGATTGTATTTCTCTATCAATCAAAATCTCCCGTGAAAGGCCACCCTGAGGTGAAACCTTCCACTTCACTTTTCTTGATGTTCTTTACTGAACATCACACAGATTTGGACCAACTCTGACATGAAGATGAGTTCTTTTTGGGGGTGGTTGGTTGGGGCGGTTTGGGGTGTGAAAGAGGCAAAGACACCGAGAGGAAACATGCAAAATCTGTTTAGGGGGGTTTAAAGCCAAGAGAAGATTTTTAAGCAATTTCAGCAGGGTCTGTTGTTCTGGTCTGGCCAATTCTCCTTAGGTTTCAACACTCGCCTACAACCCCACGGTCCTGTTCTATGTCTAGATACCTACCGTTAACTTTATTCCCAGAAATAGCTCTCTGTTTTGTTCAGGTTTTTGCAGAAGTGAAACCAGTGGTGAAGAAAGCACTGTGTAGCCAGAGGTTTTCAAATGGCATAGCATAAGTGTAAGAAATGAATGGGGGTGGGGGGGAGTGGATTTTTTTTAACAGGATGACTTTCACTGAAAGCAAGGAGAAACAAGAACCTGAAACTAGCAGGGAGAGGTCACTGCATCCTGGCCTGGCCAGCACCATCCAGCATGAGCTGAAACCCAGGTGGAAGCAGACTTTTTCCTGAGATCTCAGGGAAACAAAAAAACCACACTGTCCTCCCGTTGTTCATCAATTTGCTTGAGCGGGCCCAGTAATGTCTCCATTGTGAGACTTCTTGTTACTGTGTTTGGCATACTGAATACGTCACAGGTAGCTTGCCGGGCTCTCAAAGAATCATCTGTAATCCAAGGTACCGCCTTCATCAAGCACAGACTCAGACCTAGGAAATCATCGTTTCCCATCAGGTCAATGGTCAATCCTAGGATGAGCATCAGTCTCTGTCTCTGTCTGTCTGTCTGTCTGTCTGTCTGTCTCTCTATCTATCTCCATCTCTCTTTCTCTCTCTCTCACACACACACACAGTGCATCTGGGAGATACCTACAGACACACACAACACTTTGTCACAGTGTTTCACAGACATGCACACATACCATTATGAGACTTAGCTGAGATCAGGTGAGGATGGAGTCTTTATTCTCACTAGCAATGTGGGTCCCCACCTGCCTGAAGGTGAATGCATTCAGGCAGCACTATCTTTTCATGAAGGAATATAACAATATTTCAATATCACAAACATTCAGGGATAGAGCTACACATCTCTTCAAAGGTATGTAACCGTGCCGCGTTACTATACCATGGTACCAAACCATGCGGACCTTCCTACTCCATTTCCTTACAGTGTCAGAATCTAAGAGCTTGTCTGTGTTTTGTTTGCATTTTACAGACAGTGCAATCATATAGTATTTGTCCTTCCCCTGAAGCACTCCCCTTAGCACAATTCCCTCCTATGCCTCTGGTACCAGCCACATCCTCTCAAGAACCCCATAAACAGCAAGACGGATCCTTTGTCCTAGCTGCATAGTATTCCTGGATATAGCTCTACCGTCTTTTCTTGAACCTTGGAACATGAGATGGAGCAACCCTATGAGGCAGCAATCCGGCTTTCAGCAGCTAACTGATGGTTGCAAAAACATGAATCAAAAAGAAAACAAAAGAAAGAGAAAGAACAATACTGGGTGCCTAGGGTTCCCTCCAAATAGGATAATACACCACCCAGAAACACACACACACACACACACACACACACACACACACACACACACACAAACAGAGTCTGTCTCTCTCCCTCTCTCTCATTCTATCTGTCTCTGTCTCTGACTGTCTCTGTGTGTGTGTGTGTGTGTGTGTGTGTGCGTGTGTGTCTCAAC